ACACACACACACACACACACACACACACACACACACACACACACACACACACACACATATATGGTCTGAAATGGTCATTGTTTTCCCCCCTCAGCTCTGCCATTATAGCGATCAGCCAAGCTTCGGTAAGGTAAATACTTTTGGAAAATAAGTGGAAATTTGCTGCAAATCAGTCCTTTTGTGCATGGCCGCGGGAGCATGTTGAAATGTTTGGACACTAATACCCATTCATTTTCTTGGCTCCATAAATAAAAGCTGCCAGCTCTGTGGCGGCCGTGAAAGGGTATTCTTCAGGGCCCAGCGGGAACCCCCATCCTTATTACCACTGCAGGGGGCAGGACAGGCCCAAAATAGCAAGACAACTAAATCAAGACATTTTCAATGTCTAACAAAATGACTGTGTTTCAGAAGGAACCAAAAGGTTGGAAAAAATTGGACAGCTTTTGTACTTAGTGTAATACCTTTGTTAAAAGAGTTCAGACAGGAAAAAAAGGAATCTTTTAAAGATGGCATCAGCATATATCTGAATATCATTTAAAAACTCGAGATCTTATGAAACTGAAAATCAGACGCACTGATGTCGTCGTCAGGGGATTCACGTTGAAGCTGAACTCCTTTTGGGGACCACAGACAATTACCATAGGGGGGGCGGTGTCACTTCAAAAGGAGGTCAGAGAAGTGTTGGAAGGGAAGTGAGTGGCTATTTTGGCCTGCAAATCTTTCCCAAATTAAACTTTTTTTTTTTTCCTGAGCATGTTTTTGAGTGATACCCTTTCTTTTATCTGAGAGAAAGATTAGCAGAAGTATTTTCTAAGAGTCCTAGAGGCATGGAAATAGCTGGGCTGGGAGGGAAGCAGTGGAGAAAAGTGTTCATAAGATATTTTGGGATGTTCTTCCTCACTTGGCTGGCCTGCCCTGCTGGTTAAGAAGTCCTGTTCACCCATTTTGAATAAACAGTTAATTCCTTTTGTTGTCACAGGAGATCCCATAAGTAAGTGCCCAGTCCAATAACAATTAGGACTGAATTCTTTTGCACGGAGCAATGCTACGAGGCTGGCATTATTAGAATTACGCACGTACATGTAACTTCGAAATGTGATTAAAAACTAGTCATTTCACGTCCTATAACTTTAAAAGATCTCAGAGTGTAAATGCCATCAGACTCTTGCAAAATTCTTCAAAATGAACATGCCACTCAAAATAAAAAACATGGGTCTTTTGGATTTCCTAAAGTTAATAAACAAAGGAAAAAACTACGTCCCTCCCCCTCTCCCCGTGTTCCCCCATCTCATCTTCGGTCTTTTATGATTCAGACGGTAATGAGAGCCATAAACATTACCTTCCCTAATAAAAACCCCAGCATTTCAGAGCCGGCTCAGAGAATGTGAATGACATCTGGTGACAACTGGGGCTAATTAATATCTTTATAGGTGTCTCCCACCCACCAGAGTTGAAGCAGGAGTAGTCAGGGGTGCTTACATCCAAGCCCCAGGCAGCTGAGGGCTGGTGCTCGCTTTCCTGTTTGCACTGATAACAAGTAGACCTATCTTTATAGGCCTGTAAAACCTAAGTGTGGAGATGGCTCACACGGAGTGGCATTTTGCTCCTCTGTTCTTGTCACACTGCGCTCGTGTGTCGTCTGCTTTGGGCTAGCCTGGCCGGTTAGCTAGACATGTGGACAGGCAACAGGAAAAAGAAAAATACTAAAAAGGGGCAGGGAGGCGAACACATAGCTGTGCTTCGACTTAGACAAAGCACAACGTGACCCATGCATACGTCCCAGATCTTCTTGCAAAGATCTTTAAAAACCTGCTCCGGGAAGCATTTGCTTGTGGCACCGATAAGGTTTATCTCACCAGACCAAGGGAATATTAAAAAAGCAAGATGAACCAGCACACTGGTGCTAATCTGTGTTTTGAAGCCTACCGCTCGGCCAAGTGCAATGTCACAGCTCTAGGCGAAACATGCAGGTGGTCGGGGGGCGTCTTTTTCAAAGGTTACCCTACAAAGAGCAGGCCAGCCCTCCTCTGTCAATACAGGCCAGTACCCCGGGAGCGCCCGGACAATCAGAAAATAATGACATCAACCTGACCATGGTTAAGTACATAACATGCTGAAGGTTCACGGGTGTGTAGCCTGGAACAATAAAGGAAAAATAAAGACGCTTGCTTGGCGGGCCCCAGCTGTTATTAGCCATGCTGGGGGATCAAGGAAAGGTAGGATATGGGCTGCCATTTCAATTGGGGCCAGGTTAATCTCTCAATTGGAGGAGAAGGAAAACAGCAGCACAGCAGCCCTCAGAAGGAACGGAGGGGACAAATGACAATATCTTTATTTGCATAATCTGTGTTTAACCCTTTCCTAATAGAGACCACGTTGCCTTCAAATCAGCTTAATTTTCTTTGGACTGGTGGGCAGAGCACCCTAACACCTTCAGCCAGTGAGTGCACTATCTAATATTCATTTACTATGTACTGCTGAGACTGAGGGCTTAGGGGGAACTCTAACCGTGTAGATTAAAAGTGACAGGCGTCCCTTCATGGAAGCACTGCTGGAATTTATTCTGGCTCCGCCTCCACTGCTGACTTTCTGATCTGCAGACAGTGGCTTAATCTCTGTGCTTTGGCTTCCTCACTTGCAGAATGGGTTAGCATTAAGAAAGAGAGTTGGGAACTAAAGGAGGCTCGCACACCAATATTGTTTGAGAAATGTCTTTAAGAACAATTAAAGGAAACCAGAATTGCTGATTGCACAAATATTGGGGCAGTTCTGTTTGAGTGTGAATGAGGGCACGCATTCTAGGAGTTGAGGGGAGCTATAGGGAGCTATAGTCCTCCTGCAAAGAAATATGTGAACGAAAATCTTGCACAAAAGTACTGAGCGGTACTGGACTTTGTCACGAGAAAGACTGAGTTTTTAGCACATGGTTGTTCTGTTTCTTTGTTTTATGATTTCCTGCCCCTTCTCTTTCTACTTACATATTTTACTTCCCTAATAAAATCGGAGGATAAAGATCTTTGCAAATTTAAGCTGTACTAATTTTCATTTAGAAAAGGAAGACAGAGAAAGATAATTCAAAAGTGTTTCTAGTTTGGCAAAGGAGTCTGCTCTCAGGTTCCAAGCCTATGGTTCACTGCTTCTTGCGTTTTTCTGGACTTACAAAGAGGCAAAGGGCTGAAGACAGGTGCCCCTACAGGCCGTACCATTTTCTATGCCATTAACTGTGGTCCCATCTCCAAAAAGACACTGCTTTGAACAATCAGTGTGAAAAATTCTTTTTCCTCTCCACTTATTTACTTATGTTTAATTATAAAAGTACTTACTACAGAGAAAAGTATATTAGCGTAGAAAAAAGTTCACATAATCTTAGCTTCCAGCTCAAACAGAATAACTGTTTTCACACAGTTCATTCTCTTCTATCTTCCTATTTTTCTTCCTTATAGAGTCAAGATTGTGTCACATATAAATTGTGTTATACTCTTTTTTTCGCAGTCAGTATTACTGTGTCGTACTAGAAACTTTATAAATATACTTTTTATTTGGCTGCATGAATATCTTCTGAGTTGGGTTATATAGCAAATGTTTTATTTATTAAGATAATACTACTGTAACTAATGACTCACTGAAATAATTTTGTTTAAGGCCTTCCATCATTTGAGATTTTTTTCCCCCTTAATATAAATCCCCACTAGAAAGGCAGAGTAAACCCTTTAAAAGCAACCAATGCAGTTAAAGGATGTCGTTGCAATAAATCGTATTAAAAAATTACCCAAAGATTTTTAGCTTTAGCTCCAAGAATAGAGAGGAAAATATTGGGTTGTCGGGAAAGTCATGACGTATTTTTCTATGTTTTTCAGTGCAAAAATGTGTCATGACTTGCCCAACGACCCAAAATGATAATACTTTAAAGACACATTTAAACAGTATTTTCATGCTTACAAGTCAGAAAGGCAGTGTATCACGCATGCATGGAAGTCAGGCTGTGCGGGAACTCTGCCTTAGTATCGGAGCCAATCTTGACCAACCTGCCAGCTTAGCCCTGTCTCTGGACATTATTTTATTGGCACAGTTGACTGAATATTTAATGAAGCTGTGGTTCAGGGTTCTCTCCTGCTAAATGCATGGTTAGGAAACTTCTGGGACTGCAAGGGGCTTTATTGATTCTCACCCACAGAATCGTACGTAAGAGTATATCTGATTTGGGTCCTCTGATTAGAGCCTGAGAACATAATAGACAGGACTTTCTGTTAATATATACTGTTTTTGTCTTTCAGGCTCTACTCTGGATTAGCACCCATGATCCTGCTAAGGCTGCAAGTCTGGAAGGTTCCCAGTGGATGAAAACTACCCCCATGTTACACAGCAAGCTAGATAACCAATAGGTAAGTGCAGCCTTAAAGTTGTTCTTGATAAACTGATGCTACATTTATTTTTGCAAGAAAAGTGGCATATTTGAGAAAACGTATACACAAGCACTTTTGTATCTCAATCCACTACTCTCATTTTTATGAATTCCTCCTTAACAAAAAACAAACTTTTGCTTGGGTATTCCCATATTTTGATTGTCTGAGGTAGCTTTGGATCTTGAAAAACTCCACGTACTAAGGCCAGTTAGCTAGTAAATATTACATTCCACACTCATGAACATTTGGCAAGTTTATTCAAGAGGGACGCAGAGTATGGGTCATCAGAGTTATGAATACAAAAAGGACTGAACCCCAGGAGTCATAAGATTCAATATGATAGGAAAGTAACCTAAAACAAAACACCTATTTCTTTGAACACAAGAGTCATGGCTCATCCAAATGGTTTCCATTAAAGTTCCTCTTTAACAGCATCTGATTAAAATGTCACAGATTAGTTCAAAGAAAAGGAAGGAGGATGAGGGGAAAAACTAGGAAGCGGAGAAACAGGAGGACCATTTCCTTTTTTGGAGACGAAAATGCAAACCCATAAAAATTATAGGTTGGTTAAAATAGTAAGTTGAAGCCTAAAATACTAATTTTTAGACTATGTTTAATGATTTCCGAAGGAAAAACACATTGGAATGAAATGGTAGAAGAAACCTATCATTAGTCAGACTCTCCATTGCTTTAATTAAAGAATAGATGGCAGTCTTGTGCTTCTGCCCTTGGTGAAAGTCGCATTCCTGAAATCTTCGGCCAAATCTCCTATTAGAGTAAATACTGCCACTGCTGACTCTGGGATCGGTTTATGTTTTTTGGGGGTGAGGATCTAAAGACCAATACTCAGCAGAGATTAGCTTTAATCAAGGATTAGTCAATAAATAAATTATCATGTGATCTGAGAAGCCCATGTTACTTCATGTGGCACTATTTCATAGATCCCATTAAGTCATTCCATGAAAAATGACAACCACCCCAGATTAGGAAACACTTGGTATTATGAAGAACACAAAATAAACCCCATAGGTGAAAATACTCTTGCTCTGCTTTCTCCTCCTCCACCAGTTTTCTTTTGCCAATATGCTTTTTATTTAAATGGGAAATCAGATAAAGTTTAGCAGCTGAGCCATCAATTTGTTTCCTGGGCAAGTAAATTAGTTTCAGAAACACATTAAATCCTATCTTAGTTCATGCAACACTTATACATAACCACAATTTGGTGTTGAGTGATAGGTAGACCTTATGGCATCCAGAGAAGTGCATGGAATTCCAGTTAGCAATCGGAAATGTCTCCCACCATTCTGGCCTGGAAACCTCACAGATATGTTTCATCGTGAAGCCTCTAGTGTAATCTATATGTCACCAGCATCTGCTATAATTATATACATACGCAAAGCCAGCTGCCTTTAAGTCTGGGTGAGAAGAGGGGGGATTAATATTGGCGACTACTATCCCCATTGAATTTATTATTCCCGATGCAATCTTAAAATATTATCTGAGTTTTTTCCCATTGATTTATTCTTTCCTCAGATATTATAAGGGAGTTCTATTGTCAAGTTCTACACTGGAAAAACAAAAGTAATTTTATGACTATATCTTCCAATATCCAAGCAGGACTTTTGCGTCATTAACTAAATAAAGTGGTGGGATTAGGCGGAACACAAATAGAGGATCCCAAGGGGCAATAACATTTGTTGAGTACACACTGTGCCTTGTCATACAATCCTCACAGGGGCATGTGCACACTGGTATCGTCACCCCATTTTAGAGATGAAGAAACAGATAAAAAGGTGCGGTCACTTGCCAGAGATGACAGCTCTGATGGACGGGTTAGGATCCACATGTGTTCGCCTGACTTCAAAATCCTTTTTGCCATCAATGACTTACCTGTTAAGAAGTTCCTGCGATACTGTTGGATACCTAGGAACTATTTCTAGGAAGTACACAGACCCTCGAGTTTGTCTCCCTAACTAAATTCACGATGACACTCCCCATAAGCACAGCTGATCCCAACCACCTTGCTATGCCCTGAAACTTCCTCCCACTGCCTCGGTCTGGACCAGTAAACTCGTGTCCCCTGCATCCCCCGTGACATAAATAACGCCTCTCCTGAGCAAACATTTCTAGAGTTAGAGTGGACCAAAAGAAAGGCTCAGGAGAGCTGCTCAAAAGCCAGGGAATGTGTTCTCATCTCAAGCATCTTCTCTAGTGTCCCTATAATTACCTGCAAATATCTCCGTATGAGGTTAATGAAAATGATCAGAAGAAATTGAAATATACTTTTTTTATCATTGTTTGTCATGTCAGCTGACTTTCTAACCACAACTTTTAAAGGAAAAAGTAAGAAAAAAAAAGATAATGGATTTATGTATTGCTTTTCATTTGTGACAAATTTTCTTTTCTTTTGAAGGAAGGGAGAATTTGGATGGTGCACCGTGGCTTTGAAAGGCTCCGGAAACCCTAGCAAAAGGAGCTGAACCAAGAACACTGAGACTGGGAAATAAAACCCTGTTTGTTCACAGAGTGCTCCATCTCCAAGACTCCACGGCTCCCTGACTGCGCCCCTCACATGGGGCCACCTGTACAAGCGCGAGCCCCTGAGCCTCTGGGGGCTATTTGGCCTCTGCCTTCCAGTCCCCCTGCCAGCATGCGTTCTGGGCTGCGCTACACCCGGGGCTGACTTTCTGAAGTGCCCACCTGTCCATTAGCAATCGCAGGGAGACTCCCAACTCATTTTATAGAGGCGACTGCACAGCAGTGGGCGTTAATGACTTTGGAGTGCGCTGTCTTTGACAATAAGCCGGAATCTTGACTATGCAATTGACTGCAACCACACAAATTGCCATTTAGAAGGAATCTGAAACCTACACACTTGTGTACATGCGCACAGCGAGCTGCACTCTTCCCATACGATCATGGTGGCTGACATTCTACCCAATTTCAGTGAGCAAATTTGACTAAAACGGCTGCGTAATACATTCTGCGTTAACGTCAGTTCTTGAAAAAGCCCAAGGATTAAAAGTTAATTCCATCCTTTTAATTCAAGGGACATATAAATGGCATTATGGGGAGCGCCAACTCCTCTTTTTATCAGTCCTTTCATGCTGCCTCCTCGCTAATTCTTGGTTGTTCAAATGCTACCTACATAATAAAAGCTTTGAGTTAATTTACTAAGATTTTACACCAGTGCAAATGAAAGAAAGGAAAGTGCTAAACAAGGCAATTAGCACTCTGTTTAGTGCACTCCCAAAATAAATGTAGGCAATTTACAATTTGGCAAATGGCACTCTACCCACATCCAGCTCATTTATGCCTAAGGGGGTGGCACAGTTCATTAGGGGAAAAAGTGTTTATATATATTATGCTATTGAGGCCCAACCCATCTTGTACGCTAGCAACAGATGCGACTCCTCCTGAGGTTTATTAGTGTTTCCTGCAGAAAAATGCCAAACTATTACGCTTTCGAATAAATGGCCCAAAAAGAATGCCTCTTGCTACCGAGTATGAGTGGCTAGCTTTACAAGATGGGGGTGTGGAGATGCGTGGCAGGGTTGGTTTGCAAAACCTATAGCCGAGTTGGAGCCTCCTCTCCACTTGAGAGAAGTGATTCCCAGTATAATTTTGGAGCATACATCTCCACTCTGACGCCACTTGCAGACATCCGCTGGAATTGTTCATTTGAAGTACTGCTGACTGTTTCCTAATTGACACATCGGTTACTCCAAGCCTTTCTTGTTTATTCTTGTAAGCCTCTTATTAGTGCAAAAATAATAGAGGCTGTTAATGCAGAATTACAACTGACATTGATATTTAAGATGCGAAAATGATAAAGGTTAAATGTGTTTATACTGCTTTTGTACAAAGAGCTTTACAAAATAGTTCGGAAACAGAACGCTGGGCCAAACATGGAGTAATTGTGCCCAAATCCTAGCCTCTCATTCTTTGGGATTTACTTTTCACTTTGACATATTACTGTCATCTGCACTTTGGATTTCTGCTGGCAAGGAAATATGAAAAATTGACACCTGAAGAAGGGAAGGTGCAATAAAATCCACCAGCCTGCCCTGTATTTTTGTTTATTTTTGAGTCTATATAGTTCCTTTCAGTGATTAAAAAAAGACAAGGCAAGGTAAAAGCATTCTTTTGTGCCCTCTAGCTGCTGCAAGCACAAATGGAAAATAAAATTCTCCGATGATTAAATTCTCCTAATCTGGTTTGGGGGGAATAAAAAAGGCCAATATTTCTATGAGCTAAAGCTTTTTTCTTTATAAAAGGAAAAGTTTACCTTCTTGAATTAATTGCACCTATATTTTCACAAGGCAGAGGAATAATTCAAGAAGGGAGGGACTCTTAGAAAATTAAACTGGAAATCACTTCTCTCAAGCAGCTGACTGATACGACACTCATATATTGGACTATATCTACTGCTTTGAGCAGTCATCATTGATTTTAATTCTATTCCTAAAAGAAATTGAGGCGATTATAAGCCAGAGTGACTTTGGTTGGTGTGTTTTAAGAATAGTGTGATGGCTTTTAGAACTGATGACAAAGCTAGGATGCTTATGCATGTTTATGCAAATGAAGGTGTGTGTGTATTTTTTATAGGTAAAATCTGCCTTTGAGGTCACTCACAGCACAACAATGTTATCAAAATCAGTCCTTAAGAAAATGGTGAATTTGTGGATGGCAGCCCTGATAGCAATTTGGGTTACAACTTTTTGCATCTAGGCTACATTTCAAATACAAAAATCAGCACCCTGTGTCGTTCTCTTGCAAATTGAAGAGGAGAACATTTTAGGAAAGAATAAATGGCTTACTTTGGGATGGTTCACAAAGGAAAGTTCTCGAGGCCCAATTGAGTGAACAATTCATTTACGAGAAGGAAAAGTCTTGCAGCTTGATATGTACACGCTGCCCAGAACTATGGAAAAAAGAAAACGAGAAATTGTTGGAAATGTGCAGAATTATTTTTTTTAAAAAAGAAAATCTCTCCAGGTTTCCCAAGAAAACGGTTTCCTAAGTGCCCTACATTTTTCAGTGTGTCTGGGAGAGTGCGTGAGGGTGGGGGATGGAGTGGATGGGCTGGGAAGGAGCTGAGCTGTTTAATGATTCAAGGAAATACATGAGAACATCCCCCCCTGAAGTGCGCACAGCTCGCAGACTTAGCTGACAGTCTCACACCCGTTCCCACTAATTCCCCATCCAGTGCTGAGTTCACCCTGAAGGGCTCAGTCTCAACAGATGTTCTAAGTGGCACCTCCTGAGTCGCCCTTGTGTGGTGGGGAAATATAGAAATGAAGCTAAATCAAATTAGCCGGCGGAGGAAGAAAATAAAGGTCAGGTCCACCCGCATCTGAGTAAACAGCCTCTGCCAATACGGCCATCTTCAGTCAGGAACTAATTAAGAGCTGATTGTCCTTGTTGGTGAAATCTCAAAGATGCGTGGTGCTGAATTATTAAAAACAACGCACACAAAATACAAAAAAAAAAGGAACCCCCCCCACACACACTCTGCAGTATGCCAGATGAAAAGATAAGGAGCCATAATATCCCACGGAATTGTGTCTCTTGGACAGAGATAGTCCCTAAATCCCCAGCTTTCTTTGTTTTGATGACAATTTTTCTTCCTTGAAGGGAGCAGAAAGTATGCTCGAAGCCTGTCTTGTGTTACCTTTGTCTGCCTATCTCAGCTGGTATTTAATTGGTCAGCAATAGGAGGGAAGTCTCCTTTGAGGTAATGAATATTGACTGTTTATGTTGAAATGTCACTGTGAAAAGAAAGCCAGCACCAAAGAGGGAGAACCCAGTGTGAGAGCCTCAGACACAAAAGAGACACCAGTGAAGCGGAGGCATTGAAAAGCAAAGCAGCTGAAATTCAAAGAATGGATGAAACAGAAATAGCCTACATGTGTGGGAATTTGAAGCTAGCCGTTGACAGGTGAAAAAGTCATTATTTTACCTGTTATAGCCCAATGTAATTGTGTGTTTTTCGTAACATGACACGCAGGCCATGACTCACAGAAACGTTTTAATTGAGAAACCATCCTGGTCTTTTAATGAATCATTTTTGTCCCGTAAAGGGAACTGGGGCAGACCTCACACTTAAAGACTATGTGGATTCTAAACCAGAGAAGAGGGAGAAATGGAGGAACTGCATGGCCGGCTGGCCCTCTCTTGAAATGGTTAGGTCTTGCCTTTTTCAAATGAACCTGCTGGATGGGCAAAGTTTTGGTCTTGGTAATTAGAGATTTTAGGGTAAGAAGGGGAGGGAGAATGGTGTCACCAGGCACATACGGTCTGCTCATTAGCTTAGACGGGCTGAAGACATCATCGTTTAATAACCTGGGACATTATTGGCACATCTTTGTAATTTGAGGGTGGCCCTGAGCTGGCAGCTGAGATGGGGTCCCTTCAACCCCTTCAGCGCTGCTCAAGCTCTGCCACATTTCAGTTGGGTTTTACTAGGAGGTGTGGCTTTATTCACCCACCATAGATTTTATGTCATTGTGGGAATCGGATTTTCCATTTTTATATTTCCCCCAAATGGTGACCAGTTGGAGGAGCAATACCAGAAAGAGATAGCAAACGGAGCGCGTCTACATGATTTAAATGTGTAGGAAGTTCCAACATGGACAAGTTTTGAAATCGGGGGGGGGGGACGACTCTTCTCCACCCCCATCCTTGGGCTTCACTGTGGTGCAAATTACTAATAGCCATGAGTGTTGTATTTGTTGCCTTTAATATTGTGTGTGAGAAGGGAAATGAGACAAAGAGACAACTGTGCGACTACTGAGTCACACACACTCATGGGAAAAATCAAATGGCTGAAGAACCCGGATCCACAGAAAACTCGTTTCTGGTCCCTATGAATAGGCAGTTGTATCTACAGGGTGGCTATACTGTTCACACAGAGCAAGTTCACATATTTGAACTTTATCCTAATTGGGACCCCATCGCTGCAGATTTCTCATTAGCGTTCCCTTTGGATGGTTCCCAAATGCAGAAAGGGTCCCCTGTTTCATTGCCCGGCCCTTCAATTATGTTTTCTAAAAGCCCAATAAATAAAAGATGACATCCTGAGTCACACCCTGTGTCATGCTTGAACCCTAACCTGTGACGCTCACCTACCTCGAAACTAACAAGCTGCATGGCCCACAAAGAGTGGTATTTCTTCATTAGCAAGATCCACTTCACCTTTAAAAACCCGGGGCTCCCCGTCTGCACCCAGCGGGATTGAGATGTCTTGGGTCTCTCAATGACATTTAGGAATCCTCCAAGACAAAAAAGGAAGTCGTTACATTTCCAGCTCACCTGCAAAGAAGATGTCATTAAAAGAGGAAGCAAAGTGAACCCCTGTCAACTTGTTAGGGCCCGAAAGGTAATTCTGCCATCAGAAATGGGAGTTGTGGAATGAGCCAGAATCCTATTATTACTGACACGACAGAACCTGCTGGGGTCAAAGGTGCCCAGGGCCAGAAAGTTCAGGTGTTGCTAAATTCATTAAGGTGTCAGTTTGAAAAGATGTGATGTTACCCCTGTTGTCTGTAGGGATGAAAGCTGGGCTTTGCTCGCTCCTGTCAACACACTATCGTCTCAATTCTGTTTGCTCTGCACCTGATTTTGCCATCTGCAAGGGGTTAAGGGTCAGGGGTGATGGCTTCTTAAAAGGCTACTAATATTTGACATATATCATGTCAATCTGCCCCTTTCATCGCCACTCCCTACCGCCAAAAAAAAAGGGCAAATGTTGTTTAAATCAACACTCCTTGTGTTGGCTTGCTTGTCCAATTTTTGCAAATGACGGTAGTAGAAGGTGAGTAAATCTCTCCTGCGCTTCCATTTTTATTATTAAAGATAAATGTACTTACTTCTCTTAATAAGGTCACGTGCCTCCATGATAACTTCTGACAGGAATTTGACTTTTAAATCTCCAGACGTTGGACTTGCTCTCCTTCTTCACTTTATGAGCATTTTCTTCAGGTTTTATTTCCAGAGGTTCATTGGAAAATCTGAGACTTCGTAAAGAGCGTCTTGATCAACAGGATGCAAATGATTGCTCTGCATTTGAAATGATAAAGAATACTTATTTGGTAACTTGTACCAGAAAGTATGAAGGTGATTACCATATAGGAAGCAAAATATAGAATACAATACATCATTGTGTGAATAAACAAATCACATTTCATATTAATATATCATGAGAAGACATAACACTTATTTTTCAAAAGATATGTGTTCCAGATGATGGTTTTAAAGACAGACCACCTTGTAATAATTTAATTTTTTAAATGTCAAATATCATACCAACATAACCAAATTTCAATTCACTGGGTGGGTATTTCAAAAAAGTGAAATCGCCGATTTCCACACCTTGGTTCAAGGCAATATTTATTTGCTTAATTTGAGTTTTAAAGAATGAGGTGGTTTTTGCTTTTTTATTTTCTAGAAAATGTCAGTAATCAAATGATAATGAGAAAATGACAAACACCCTTCCTGGCTGAGACCACAGCGTAATCAAAACCAAAACAAAACAAAACAAAAACTTGCGTGCCTTTGCAGTTTATTGGTATAGAGGTAGGGCTTAGGAGGTATGGCATACTGTTACTCTCACACCTTTGACACTGATAAACAATATAACATTATTTCATGCATGGGGAGATAACATGGTCACTTCTTTAAATAGGTTTGTAGGTCCACGCTGCTGGTATATGTGCAATCCGGCTGGCCCACTTCATGTGCACTCACATTGTATATTTTGCATAAAACAGAAAAGTACTTTCTTAAAGTGCAGAAAAGTAACCCGCTTGCACACAGATTTCCTGTTGATGCTCACTGAAATTTGCCTTTCCATTTCCCCAATGGTTTCTATGAAAAATCCAAGTATTTTCCTAAGTCTGTCAAGCCTGCTTTAAAAGGGGACTTTCCTAGTTCTGAGCAGGAAAACTTCTATTTTTAAGCAATCTATGTCCATGTGAAGGCAGTCCGAGTGCTAACAACGGCCATAAATAACATTTGTAAGGCATGCATGTATGTATGGCCACAATATTG